GTTCCATTATCAGTCAGCCACGTTCTGTTGGACTGCCCACTTTATCAACGAGCACGCAGAATTTACCTCTGTCGTCGTCTTCGCTCCGCTGCTCTCTCTTTACCTTCCCTTCTCGCTGATGGACCCACCTTTCATCCAGACTCTCTCATTGACTTTTTGACAACAACTGACTGACTTCACAAATTCTGATACCTTCAGCCCTTTCTACTTCAATCTCTTGCTACCCTCTACCCCCGTACTATCCCCTGCCCCGCTGTTTTCTGTAACCTACTGATCATCCCTCCTCCCTTCTGCCATCCAATACCCTCGCTTCGTTCCCTACCCTCAAGCGCTGTATAGCCCTTGTGGCTTAGCGCTTCTTTTTTTTTTTTTTTTTTTCCAACAAGTCGGCCATCTCCCACTGAGGCAGGGTGACCCAAAAAAGAAAGAAAATCTCCAAAAAGAAAATACTTTCATCATTCAACACTTTCACCACACTCACACATTATCACTGTTTTTGCAGAGGTGCTCAGAATACAACAGTTTAGAAGCATTTACGTATAAAGATACACAACATATCCCTCCAAACTGCCAATATCCCAAACCCCTCCTTTAAAGTGCAGGCATTGTACTTCCCATTTCCAGGACTCAAGTCCAACTATATGAAAATAACCGGTTTCCCTGAATCCCTTCACTAAATATTACCCTGCTCACACTCCAACAGATCGTCAGGTCCCAAGTATCATTCGCCTCCATTCACTCTTTTTCACTTCTTTTTGATTATAATAATAATACTGAAGGGCTGGCACTCTGAACTTTCTTTGGCCCCCATGGTGGCTTATTTTGCAGTTGCACTCAATAAACAAGCACCAAAAACAATGAATGAACGAGCAGAATATAGTTCACTCAACAAGTGACAGAGGCAGACTGAGTCAGGCAGCGGCAGTATCTCGGGCAGGCGGATGCATCCGATATGGACGATATCCGAGTCGATGTACGAAACCCGGAGTAAAAATTTGCCAAAAAAGGTGGTCGAAATCCAAATTGTATGATATTCGGACTGTATGAAAACCGAAGTTTTACTGCATAACAATGTAATATATATTTCAATTTTTTGCATGGGTTTAGTGCATAAATTGACTTTATTAATATATAATTAAATTTTTTCATAACTTATTTTGTATGAACTGTACATAAGGGGTCAGTAATGTTATATTTAATGGAGGAGACTGTAAAAAGACAGATACTCACACTGGTCAGACCCAAGCCAGAGTCAGCAAGGGATTCAGAAAGGTAATCTCCTCCCTTTCTCCTACCAACTCTGACTTTAGTCCTCAGCAATACTGTGAGAACATAAACCATACCCCTGGCCGGGTATGGTTTGTTTGCAATCGTGTCATTATGATTTCTTGAGTCCTGTGAGAACATCATTGCCTATAATGCTCCAGTACATAATTGAATTGTCTGTACCCCTTTTATTTTGTATGATATATGCATGTCATTATTGGAGGAGAAAGTAAAAAGTTTGCTACATCACATGCCTTGGCTAACCTGAAGCCAGAGATGGCAGGAAAATAGCATGCCTTCTTTCAAAATGTTACATGTCGATAGTATGATAGGGGTATCCCCTGGCAGGAGACTTTTCCCAAACATCTTTCATTTTCTTAAACTACACTAGTTTGCTTAGTTTTGCAGGGTGTGGGGATTTACTAGAATATGCCAGTGTGTTTGGATAGTCAATTGGTGTTATAGCTGTTCCTTAATGAAGAAATGTACTTTACCACCACTACAGTGTTCTTGTTTAAACAGTTTCACCTCATTGTCAATAACTAGCATGTTCAACAGTTGTAGAAATACATCTAGAGTGGGTACATTACTGTAAAAGTCAAGGGAATATGTGATTGCAGTAATTATGATAATTAGAGCACTGGATTTTGGTATTTATTAACATTGAATATTATCTTCAGCCTTTATATGAGTGTTTTGTATACATTAAGCATAACTAAATTATACAGATTAGCAGACATGATTTTAACCTGCTTAAAAAGAATGGTCAGAAGCCAAGGGGTACAGCTTACAGCCTGGCAAGCAGTTTGAGGGAAAAAAAACAAAATTTGATGGTGCATACTATCAGGATTATTAACATACTATTGATATTTTAATTGTGCTTTCAATTGCATTCCAACAAAATCTCAATTGTATTATAAGAGGATTCACTGTGAATTTAAAAATACATGTTGTATGTACTGTAAAAGAACATCATTTACAGAAAGGTTTACATTGGTTATTAAGTAGAAAAGAGGTGCTAGTACAGCACAATACATAAATTACACCACTGCTTATTTATACAGGGGTGGAGACAAACCACCATGGACAATCTTGAGAGTAGGTATGATCAGGTTCTGAAGGCTAAATATGAATACGTATAACGAGCCAGTAAGTATTCAGAGGCAGGCTTTAGGTGCTGTGACTACACCTCTGCAAACACACTTAGCGAATATATGCGAACACTATATACACTGCAACTCTTGTGGGTTTAGCACTTAGTTTTGATTGCAATAATATATACACTGCATTTATGCAAGCAAGTGGTGTTGACCCTCGTCAGATGGAAAATTTTTGTAGTTAACTAGCTTCAGGATAAGCAAGTGTAAGTGGTTTGCCTTGAGGTTCAATCTGTGACTTAAACAGCTCGTCACTATCTGTAGTACAAGCATCACTATCTAATGTGCAAGGACCTGTGATGAGTTCTTGATGTGTTGCCTCTTCATTGTCTATAATTCAGAATTAACTTATTGGATCTGATGCTAAAATGAGATGATTTTTAGGCATCTCTCAGACTAGTCGAAATAAGACAAATTTTGAATTATAGAATGACAAATTATACAGGTTTTACTGAATATTCAAACCTTTGACAATGCATATAATAGCTGACAGTTTACCAAAATAAAAAATTGAGTGATAATGTAATAAGCTAAATAAACGAACTGGGACTAGGAAGATTGGGGTCATTGTAAATATGAAATCCTCATCTCAGTCTCACAATAAGGAAATTATTATATCTTCCAGAAACACACACATGAAGTGGTCAGTGATTTTAATGTACAGTCTAATCGATGAATTTTAATATTAACGGATTTTATTGAACTGTGACTGTACTGAAGTTATTGATCATAACATGTATATAACTATTACTGTATGTTGTGATATATTATTTCCACAAGTTTTAAGTATTAGGAAGATAAGATTTTGTTTAAAAGCATCTGTTAATTGAATTTCTATGAGTTTGTTAGATGTTTATAATATAGTTGGTATATTCTCAGCACTATTATTAAATAATTCTTTGGGCTATATTGTGAGCTTGATTTGTAATTGCCTTTCCCATTTTCTAATATTTTTTGAGCATTAATTAAGAATTAATACTGCATTTTTTCAGTTTCCAAGTTTTAATAGTGTTTTGGTGTAATGGGTCACACTTAATTTTTGCAAAAGATGTAAAAATGAAGTCTCTAAGAACGATAATTATCGATAAAAGAGCCTGTATATGTACAAGAATGTGAGATTTTACTTACCTGTTGGTTATAGTACTTCATTAAATCAAATTTTATAAAAGAAAATTTTGTATTATTGTAATGCTCAGTGTATCCACATAATGAATTTTGTGCTACAGATGCAAATTATGTTTAGGACAAGCAATTTAATCTCATTTAATAGACCTTATGGTTCAATTTGTACTTAAGGAAACATTTAAGAGAGCCCAGTGCCAACACTTTGTTGTTTATCCTTGAGATTATTATATACGTCCTTAATATATAAATTGATCATGAGTATTCATTGTAAGTCAATTTAGCTAAATTAAGAACAAAATTTGTAAGCTCTCATATAAAGCTCCATTATATAGTGCAATTTTTTTTGTAAATGGTAGATAAAAGCTTAATCTAGAATTGAACAGAAGTAAAAAAAAAAAAAGATTTCAACAGTAAATGCTATTCACTTTTGAATGCACCTCTTCAGTGTCATTTGCAAAAAAAAAAAAATGTACAATAGCTTTACAAGAGAACTTACTGTATTTTATTTTTTATATAGAAATGTGTACGTATATTAATTTTATTTTAGATTGAAATTGAAAATATAAATTATATTTAAAATCTGGTTAAAACTGATCAGGAGTTTTTGAATGACAAAAATAGTCAGGACATGCAGTTTTATTACTGCTAGACCATAGTACAGTACTGTACTCGTAATGCGACACCTAGTGAGTCAACTCACACTATGTATGAACTGCTGCAGGCTGGATACGAAGGCATATACTGCTGACAGTAATGAAGGAAAGATAGAGGTGCAGTGCAAGCTTTTATTATGATAATGTTTTGATCTGTATAGTTTTATCGAGTTTGATCTTTATAAAGTATTGTCATGATAAAAACAATCTGCACCTATCTTTTTCTTCACTGTTGCAGGTATATGAACTTATTCTTGATGCATTTTAATGATAATTAAATTTTGCTTTTGTTCTTCAGTGTGTTTAGATGCATCTGTTGGTGTAAGTGTAACACTATAGTATGTAGCCATTTAGCATGGTTTTTTTTTTTTTTTTAAATATGGTTTACCTTTTCTGGTATAAGAAGGAATGATACAATAGAAGTAGCCTTGTTTATTGATCCCGTAATTGGTACTCATAATACAGTATTAGTTTTGGTAGGCATGACAAAATTGTCAACATGAGTAGGTGATAATTATGGTGAGGTTACAGTGTAATAGATAAGACGTGCGCAATGTTTGAGTATGTTAACAGTGGAAATTTGTTGCTCACCAGAGGCTTTATCAATTTAATACAGAGAAAAATGGAGGGAGATGTGAGTAAGGAGTTTGGAGTAATCAGTCCATCAGATAAGAGATGTGTTCAATCCATAAGCATTGTGTTGAACTGATAAAGCCACTGGTTTGCAAAACGTTTCCACAGTAAAGATACCAAAGTGTTGCACACATCTTGTTCATCTACTTGTCGCTTTTCCAAACTATTAATACGTTAGTGTTATAAAAAATGTCATGCTATGATATAATACTGATTTATAGGCCAACCTGTGTTGGAATTCTCATGATGCCCTGACAGGGAATATTAAAATGTTATGACACGAAGAATCCTCATAGGCATCATTTTCAGTTTTTGTGCTTAAAAATATTAAATAGCATACAATTTTGTTAGAATGCTAAGCTGTGTAAGGCTCCTCAGAAGCAAGCAAAAATTATATGCCATAAATTTGACAGATGTCATAACAATTTGTGTAGGTTTTCCAATTAATTGGAATTAATTATATTTAAAATAATTATTCTAGATCTGATGTAAATTGCAAAAATTCAGTATGTGAAATTTGAAATAGGCATGGGACTTACCATACTGCTGTAAATAAGTGACTTGATCACTTGTTGATTTTAGTTTTTGTACTTATGAACTTTCATTAAGTTGAAGATATATGCAGTAATTTAAATTTTGATTTTTTCCTTGAGTTATAGATCATTAACACACTAATTTGAATTTCTAGGAGATGTGTACCTTAGCAAAGGCTGTGTGTATCTGTGAGAACCTGTGCATGATGACTGAACCGAGATATAGGCATGAACTGTATATTAATAAAGCAGTCCCATCATATATGTAGTATCATTGATCCTTTCAGCTGGGTATTTGATGGATTGATTCTCTACCTCTGAACTGTCTAAGTCTGAAAAGTGATTGACCTTTGCATGGACTATTTTTTTTTCTCATTATATATAACACTAGAAAGCCCTCTCTACACTGCTTCATAGGTGCCTGGGACTTCCCAGGCTAATGGGGCCACAGCTGTAGACACAAGGATGTCTGTCATAGGGATAGACATCCTTGTTTTTCCTCATCTGAAAGAGGTTTCTTATGATGTTGCCCTTGTTGGGATTGCATGGCTACTTCAGGGGAGGAGAGACATCTCAGTCTGAGAATGTAGAGATCATTTACCTCCTGAAAAAAGGGATAAAACATTTAACTTGCTGGGGATGACTCTAAACGCTTGGAATGTCCTACAGAATGTATTAAAAGAATACCTGATATATGTTTATGGACAACAAAATTATTGTGCTAAACCCAGAAGGGTCTTATAACACTGTAGAAAGTGATGTGTTAATGAGGAATATGCAGAGGTTAGGAATGAGAGATTCAGGAGTGTGGAAGGGTAAGGGGTAGCGAGGGTATGGAGAGTGCAAGAGGTATAATAAAAATGTTAGTGCAAGAAGTTTGTTAGTCTGAAAAAGCAGCCGAGTCTGCCTGTTCATTACCCTGAAAATAATGTCCAGGGACCCAAGTCTTATACATAAGACACTAAAATGAAGGAAATAAAATTTCTGAATAACCTGTTCCTTCCCTCCTTGCTGATGGACCCACCTTTAACCCAGACTCTCTCATTGACTTTGACAGCATTTGATTTACTGCACAAACTTTGATGATGCCTCTAGCACTCCTCAGCCTTTTCTACCTCACTCTCTTGCTACTTTCTATCCTTGCACTATCTACTGTCCTGCTCCACTCCATGACATCATAATAATACCTCTCCCTCTTGCTATCCAATGCCCATGCACCCTTCCCTGCCCTGCTGTGCTGTATGACCCTTGTAGGTTTAGCACTTTTTTTTTATTATAATAATGAATAACGTGTTATGAACTATAGGAGACTGAAACTACTACAAATGATTGGCAGACATCAATGCAATGTGCATAACGACCATAAGAATTGTATGCAACTCTGCTGTGAAAATGCTGGCCCATTCTAATGACCTCAGATGACTGTCGGGAAAAACTGTTGCACTCCCTCCACGAACAGGATTTAGAACCATAAGTGTACACTGCAGTAGAATGAGAATAGAAGTGATCAAGAATAAATGTGTAGTTAATTGGTAAATGAGCTTTCACACAACGAGGAAAAAGCAGACACATTATTGGGACTAACCAAGGGGAGAGAAAAAAAGTAAGAAGCAGGGTGGATAGAGGGGAGGAATACTGAGGGAATCCAATAGAGAGAGAATGGGCATAGTAAGCAGAGGAGACAAGCAAAGAATCTTTACTAATATCTGTTAACATTCTATTCACAGCAGGATCATGGTCTAGATGCAGACAAAATGTGAGACAATGGGCTTTGTGCTGATCTTGCAAAGGTGGAATGTTTACCTCTGCATAAACAGCACTGTATGACCCTGGTGGGTTAAGCGCTTAGTTTTGATTATAATACCTCTGCATATGGGCTCACAGTTGGGGAAAAATGAAAAGCCTAGAGAATCAAACATAACTCATGAATGTATTAGTGCTTCCTTTTGGTTATAATAATAATGATGAATGTGATCTGGTTTGGAAAGAGTAATGAGGGAATTTGAAGAATACAGTTGGTCACCAAAGTCCAATTTCAGTAAGATTAGGATGGAATGAAGACAAAGAGTATTTCTGAAAATGTGTGTAAGCACATGAAAGCTCTTGGATTTTTTCCTATTGTTACTATGATATTTTTATACACTTAAATATATTTCCAAAACCTAGAACATAAATGCAATATTATTAAATACAGTGGACCTCCGCTTAACGATCACCTCCCAATGCGACCAATTATGTAAGTGTATTTATGTAAGTGCGTTTGTACGTGTATGTTTGGGGGTCTGAAATGGACTAATCTACTTCACAATATTCCTTATGGAACAAATTCAGTCAGTACTGGCACCTGAACATACTTCTGGAATGAAAAAATATCGTTAACCGGGGGTCCACTGTATACTTGAACATTTGGAATTCGTTAAGGAAAAAAAATCTCGAGTTTTCAGTCTGTACTACAATTTATTGTTTATATTTTAGCTGTATAGCCCTTGTGGCTTAGCGCTTCTTTTTGATTATAATAATAATAATGTTTATATTTTAGCTTTATTCTGTGTAATCATGTAAACAGACTACTGCAGTTCTAATACTTGGTGTGAAAATAACAGAAGTGTTGTATCTCATAATTAAGATTGTATTCACAGTTAGATTTTGGTATACTATTTCTATATCTTATCATTCCAGACTAGCGTATGTGTTTATTAGTTTCATGGTAGCCATTTGCTGCTCTTCACTGAGGTTCTGTTCATAATCACTGATCAGTTTTCACTATCTCCTCTGCCTTACTTTAGAAGTAGATGTTGGAATACCTTGAATGTACAGTGGAACCTCAAATATCGAACTTTCTTTGGTCCAGAAGGCTGTTCGAGTGCCTTTACCGAATGAATTTATTCCCATGAGGAATAATGTAAATTAGGTTAGTCCATTTCAAACCCTCAAAAATACACTTATAAAAGCACTTACAAAAATACACTTACATAATTGGTTGTGTTGGGAGCAGTTCGATTTTTGAGGTTCCACTGTATATTGTTAACTGTCTCATCATCTGCTCTATTACCAAATAACTGTATTCTCCAATGACTTTACTATGCTCAAGAAAATCTTTCTATCTTGGCCAGGTTGTCATCTTTCCACACATTCTCCTGTTCCAAAACCATCATTTTCTTGTTATTCATCTGTGTATGAGTTCTCCTGCTCTTGCATAGTAATTGTTTGCCTTCCCATTGCTCTTAATAATGCATTACTTGGATATCTTTGCTCATGCTGGGATATAGATGCCGTGGAGGGAGCGCGGTACATCTGAAGGAGTGGTGAAGGTGACACGTGCTGCCTCGCTCATATCCCTAGCATTCAACACCAGGAGAGTGACTTTATTCTTGTGAGCACCGTGAAGCAGAGTCACCAGGACCACACCATCATCCTCAGCCTGCAACACCACACTTCACTTTAAAATTAAAAACTATAAGAGGGTCTCAAATGACCTGATATACTTTTAACAATTTTAGTTATGAAGTTAGTTATCTTTGTTATGCACCCCATACCAATTCTGTGGGAGATAGTCAAAAGATTACAGAGGCACATAATTGGTCCAGGGACTGGGCTGCAAAGTTTTGATAGCTAAACAAGTTAGTGGTAATGAACTATTTACATGTTTATTTAAAAAAAATCACGTAATTAGTTATTTATGCCGGTGCTAAATAGGTCACAAAAAATGTGCCTTATATTTTGGCAAGGTGTGCTCGTTAAAATAATAGCTTAAGTCATTATGCGTTATTAAGAGTTTGTAGCAGCGCTGTATAGTCCTTGTGGCTTAGCGCTTCTTTTTGATTATAATAATAATAATTAAGAGTTTGTAGATGAATGGTTCAGAGAACCAACATGTTGATAAATTAGACACATGTGCAACTCTTGGGTATCTTTTTTGAGGAAACGTTTCGCCACACAGTGGCTTCATCAGTCCATACAAAGGAGAATCTTGAAGAACAGGAGGAGAATGAGGTAATCAGTCCCTCAACCTTGAGTCGACAAAAATGAGGGTATTTTTCCAGAATGGCTAGTAATATGCCACTGTGGATAAAATACTTGGATATTTCTCAAACATTTCTGAGTGAAATGTCACATAGTTCTAAAACGACCAGTGGCGGATCTACATTTTTGGGGACCTGAACCCCTCAAGGGAGGTACCTTGATGCTAGTGAGGGGCTCTTGATCTAGGGAATTGGATCTGGGCCCCAGTTCCCTGAATTAAGCCTGAAAACCTTCCATTCCCCCACCCCAACAGGCACTGTATAATCCTACAGGTTTAGCCCCTCAAGGGAGGTTCCTGATGCTGGTGAGGGTTTTTTGATCTAGGGAATTGGATCTGTGCTCCAGTTCCCTGAATTAAGCCTGAATACCTTCTATTCCCTTTCCCCACAAGTGCTGTATAATCCCTATGGGTTTAGTGCTCCCCCATGATTATAATAATATGGGTTCAGCGCTTCCCTATGATTATAATAATAATGGGGTCCTGAAACTTGAACAGTTGTGGGGGCCCCTTCTCATACAGTAGACCCAAAAATTTTAAGCAATGTGGACTAGTTTCTGGGGCCCCTCTGGGATTAGGGGCCCTGAAGCTTAAGCTTCATTACCTGGAGTTTACCTGGAGAGAGTTTCGGGGGTCAACGCCCCCGCGGCCCGGTCTGTGACCAGGCCTCCTGGTGGATCAGCGCCTGATCAACCAGGCTGTTGCTGCTGGCTGCACGCAAACCAACGTACGAGCCACAGCCCGGCTGATCAGGAACTGACTTTAGGTGCTTGTCCAGTGCCAGCTTGAAGACTGCCAGGGGTCTGTTGGTAATCCCCCTTATGTGTGCTGGGAGGCAGTTGAACAGTCTTGGGCCCCTGACACTTATTGTATGGTCTCTTAAACGTGCTAGTGACACCCCTGCTTTTCATTGGGGGGATGGTGCATCGTCTGCCAAGTCTTTTGCTTTGTCAAGTGAGTGATTTTCGTGTGCAAGTTCGGTAACTAGTTCCCTCTAGGATTTTCCAGGTGTATATAATCATGTATCTCTCCCTCCTGCGTTCCAGGGAATACAGGTTTAGAAACCTCAAGCGCTCCCAGTAATTGAGGTGTTTTTATCTCCGTTATGCGCGCCGTGAAAGTTCTCTGTACATTTTCTAGGTCGGCAATTTCACCTGCCTTGAAAGGTGCTGTTAGAGTGCAGCAATATTCCAGCCTAGAATAGAACAAGTGACCTGAAGAGTGTCATCATGGGCTTGGCCTCCCTAGTTTTGAAGGTTCTCATTATCCATCCTGTCATTTTTCTAGCAGATGCGATTGATACATGTTATGGTCCTTGAAGGTGAGATCCTCCGACATAATCACTCCCAGGTCTTTGACGTTGGTGTTTCGCTCTATTTTGTGGCCAGAATTTGTTTTGTACTCTGATGAAGATTTAATTTCCTCATGTTTACCATATCTGAGTAATTGAAATTTCTCATCGTTGAACTTCATATTGTTTTCTGCAGCCCACTGAAAGATTTGGTTGATGTCCGCCTGGAGCCTTGCAGTGTCTGCAATGGAAGACACTGTCATGCAGATTCGGTGTCATCTGCAAAGGAAGACACGGTGCTGTGGCTGACATCCTTGTCTATGTCGGATATGAGGATGAGGAACAAGATGGGAGCTAGTACTGTGCCTTGTGGAACAGAGCTTTTTCACCGTAGCTGCCTCGGACTTTACTCTGTTGAACGACTACTCTCTGTGTTCTGTTAGTGAGGAAATTATAGATCCATCGACCGACTTTTCCTGTTATTCCTTTAGCGCGCATTTTGTGCGCTATTACGCCATGGTCACACTTGTCGAGGCTTTTGCAAAGTCTGTATATATTACATCTGCATTCTTTTTGTCTTCTAGTGCATTTAGGACCTTGTCGTAGTGATGCAGTAGTTGAGACAGACAGGAGCGACCTGTTCTAAACCCATGTTGCCCTGGGTTGTGTAACTGATGGGTTTCTAGATGGGTGGTGATCTTGCTTCTTAGGACCCTTTCAAAGATTTTTATGATATGGGATGTTAGTGCTATTGGTCTGTAGTTTCTTTGCTGTTGCTTTACTGCCCCCTTTGTGGAGTGGGGCTATGTCTGTTGTTTTTAGTAACTGAGGGGACGACCCCCGTGTCCATGCTCCCTCTCCATAGGATGGAAAAGGCTCGTGATAGGGGCTTCTTGCAGTTCTTGATGAACACAGAGTTTCCATGAGTCTGGCCCTGGGGCAGAGTGCATGGGCATGTCATTTATTCGCCTGTTCGAAGTCAATTGGCGTCAGGATAACATCGGATAGGCTTGTGTTAATCAAATTTTGTGGCTCTCTCATAAAAAATTCATTTTGATCTTCGGCTCTCAGTCCTGGTTAGCGGCTTGCTAAAAACTGAGTCATATTGGGACTTGAGTAGCTCACTCATTTCCTTTTTGTTGTCATCTGTGTAGGACCCATCTTGTTTAAGTAGGGGCCCAATACTGGACGTTGTTCTCGATTTTGATTTGGCATAGGAGAAGAAATACTTTGGGTTTCTTTCAATTTCATTTATGGCTTTTAGTTCTTCCCGCGATTCCTGACTCCTAAAGGATTCTTTTAGCTTATGTTCGATGCTTGCTATTTCTCTGACCAATGTCTCCCTGCGCATTTCAAGATATATTGACCTCTTTTAGCCGCTCTGTTATTCTTTTCGTCGCCTGTAAAGGGAGCGCCTGTCTCTTTCTATTTTACATCTACTCCTCCTTTTTCTTAGAGGAAAAGCTTGTGCATACATCGAGTGCCACCGAGTTAATCTGTTCTAGGCATAAGTTTTGGTCGTGTTGCTTAGTAATATTCCCAGCTTATATCGGTTAGGACTTGGTTTACTTGGTCCCACTTATGTTTTTGTTATTGAAGTTGAATTTGGTGAATGCTACCTCGTGGACTAGTCTATTATGTCGGTCTGGGGCTCCACGCATACATGTCTGAACCTCAATTAGTTGTGATCTGAGTATATTGTTTTTGATATGGTGACATTTCTTATCAGATCATCATTGTTAGTGAAAGATGAGGTTCTAGTGTATTCTCCAGTCTAAGTAGGCTCTATTATTGCTGGTTTAAATTGAATTTTGTGCAGAGATTTAAAAGCTCGTGTGAGTGTGAGTTTTTCATCAGAGCTGCTCCTGGTGTTATTACTGCAACATATATTTGCTATATTCCTCCATTTAGGTGCCTTAAGTTGAAAATCTCCCCAGGAGCAAGATGTTGGGTGCAGGAAGCTGGAAGATTTTCCAGACAGTGGTCAATTTTAACAGCTGTTCTGGAATTGCTGGGTGTTGCATCCGGAGGCTTGTAGACTACACAATGACTAGGTTTTGTTCTCGACCTTTACTGCTAAAACTTCCACTAGTCATTTGAGGCATAAGCATGTTCTGTGCAAACAAGTGACTCTGCAATGTACAGGCCAACCCCCTTTTTGCCTGTTCACTCTGTCACATCTGTATAGGTTGTAACCTGGGATCCATATTTCGTTGTCAATAGATCCTTATGTGGGTCTCAGTGAAAGCCGCGAACATTGCCTTTGCCTCTGCAAGCAGTCCACGGATGAAAGGTATTTTGTTGTTTGTTGCTGGCTTTAGACCCTGTATATTTGCAAAGAAGAATGTTATCGGACTGGTGGTATTGTTGGTACTGGGGGGGGATTTTTTTTCCGGCATTAGTATCTGTATCTGTTGGTTTGGAGTGGAGGCCATCGACTGTGGTTCCACTCCAGGAATGACTGGATTAGTTTCATAGTAGATCCACCCCTGAAACTGACTGCGACTTTTTTTTTCAGAGGTATTCCAGGTAAAGGAAATATCGCTGGATCACTCACCGTGGCTCCTGGTCTGGGCACGAAGTATGCTACGCTGGTATAAAGATCATCTTCAAACCAATCCTTCGTCTCTCGGGTCTCCAGATCTATCTTGCCAACCTATTCAAATGGTCAAAGTGATTAACAACTCAGTAACATTAAGAATACAAATGAATATCATTATTATTTGCCATTTAATTTAATTTAATAATTTAATTTAATAATGTGGCTGTGTAGTGAGAAAGACACTTAAGTTATAGTCTTGGGTGAAACATTGTAAACTAAGTTTTCCCCTATAACTCACTACTTGTCTGCTTACATAGTCGCTTTCAACATGATTATAATAGTAATTTTGCAGATTACTATTATGTATCTTCCAGATTACTATTACATATTCATGCTGAAGTGCTAAAATGGTAAGGGGCCACACAGTACTTGGGGAATGGCAATTAATCTGGATGAAGTTCCTTGTAGAACTAATAATATGAAGTACTCCCAAAGATACATTAACCTGTGGAAATGCCAGTCTTCCTAAGTTGCTGACGCAAGAACTAAGCTCGACTAAATAATTCAATCGTAAGAACTCGGGGGATCTTTAAGAAGACTTTAATTGGAGTATTAACCCCGGAGAGTTAATAAGCCAAGATAATTACACAAAGCCAGTGTGGCTTATATTCAGTGGAATCCTTTTGGTCCTTTTCCTCAGGATACCACCCACAGCAGTCAGCTAACACCCAGGTATCTATCTACTGCAAGATGAGACCCTTGTAGGTTCAACGCTTTTTTATTATAATAATACTAAAAGATGAACAAGGGTAATAGGTAACAGGTGCTAGGGGAATTGCCCCTACACATCTCACTGCCCAAAAGTTACCAGGTCCTTTGGTTATCGGGAAGTAGCTGATCGTGTTTGATTATAAAGACGTCAAGGAAAGGAAGCACAAATAACCCACACATAGAAGAGAGAAGCTTACGATGACGTTTCGGTCCAGCTTGGATCATTTACAAAGTCACACTAACGAGAAGTAGAGCAGGACGGGTATATATAGGAAGGAAGAGGTAGTAGTAGTGGCAGAGATGGAAGGAAGTGGTAGTGGGGAAGTAAGGAGGAGGAGCCAGTCAAATACAAAGAAAGGGGAGCACTGCAAGGGAGCTAGGTGCCCACAGAGGGAGAGCAGGAACACAGGGGGGGAGGGGAAATAATGAAATAAATAATGAAGGAATAGAAACACAAGACAGAAGAAAGACAACCCATCCATCACTCTCAAGACTTCATTGAACGGGTTCGCTCTCCCGATCTGTAAGATGCTTAGTCTTGATGTTGAGACCCTCTTCACCAATGTCCCTCTTGATGATGTCCTTGATTTTCTTAGAGAGAAGGCCCATGAAGGGTTTCTTCATCTCCCTATACCTATCGATGTCTTTCTTGATCTTATCCGCCTCTGTGTGGACTCTAATTCCTTTTCCTTCCAAGGAAAATATACTCAAACCTTCACTGTCGCTATGGGCTCTCCTCTCTCTCCTGTCCTTAATAATCTTTACTTGGAATACTTCGAGACTGTTCTTCTTCCTACCATCGATGTGCACCCTTCACTCTGGCTCCGCTATGTGGATGACGTCTTTGCTCTGTGGCCTCATGACTCGTCTCTTCCAACCTTTTTTTGAAGCTCTTAATAATCTTACCCCCTTTCATTAAGTTTAAAGCTGAATGGGAATCTAATTCCTTGCTTCCTTTCCTTGATGTCCATGTCCACCACTCAGATACAAGTTTCTCCATTTCCATTTACCGCAAACCTATGCACAGTGGCATGTACATTCACTACTTTTCCTATCGTGCTTCCCCTGTCAAGAAAAGTGTTCTTATCTCCCTCTTTCTCCATGTTCTCCACATCTGTGATCCTCAGTTCCTTCCAGCAGAAGTTTCCACTCTTCATAATTCGTTTTCCCGTCTTGGCTACCCTTCCCGTTTCATAGACTTTGCCCTCTCATGTGCTAAACGTAATTTCTTCTCTCTCAAACTCTCTACTCCTGGGAACTCTTCTGTCCTCTGCCTTCCCTACATTTCTGGTCTTTCTAATCTCAACAATTCTCTCCGTCCCTTAGACATCAAGCTTACCTTCCGCCAGACTAACACTCTTCGCACTAATCTCGTTCATACCTCTCCTCCCACTACAGATGTTCCTGGTGTCTACTCTATTTCTTGCTCCTCCTGTCTCTTCAATACTTCGGAGAAACTGGCCGATCTCTTTCTGACAGACTTAGGGAGCACAAAAATAGTGTTAGGCTTGCCGACACTAACAATGCTCTTTTCTGTCACGTCAGAGATCACAGCTATCCTATTGACGTCAGAGATCACAGCCATCCTATTGACTGGTCTTCTGCTAAAACTGTCTTCCCTACTTCCAACTTTAACAGTCACCGTCTGGTTGAATCTTCCCTAATACACAACTTTCCTTGTATGAATCTTAGTCCTGGCTTCGTCTCTGTAGATGCCTTCCTCTCCCACTACATTGTAAAATGCTCCAAACTTCAGAACACCCGTGACTTAACCTGATTCCTCCTTTTTTTCTTCTTCTCCCTCTTCCCCTTTCCTCTTTCCTTTTTTCTCTTCTGGTTGTCTTTCTTTCTTCTGTCTTGTGTTTCTGTTCCTTCATTATTTATTTCATTATTTCCCCCTCCCCCCCACCTCTGTGTTCCTGCTCTCTCTCTGTGGGCACTTAGCTCCCTTGCAGTGCTCCCCTTTCTTTGTATTTGACTGGCTCCTCCTTCCTCATTATCACTTCCTTCCATCTCTACTACTACTACTACTACTACTACTACTTACTACTACTACTGCTGCTGCTGCTACCACCACCACCACCACCTCTTCCTGCCTATACCCGTCCTGCTCTACTTCTCGTTAGTGTGACTTTGTAAATGGTCCAAGCTGGACCGAAACGTCGTCTCTTGTATGTGCGGGTTATTTGTGTATCGTTCCAGTCACGGTATTGTGCCTTTTTGTTATTTAAAGAAGGAAGTTTTTTTTTCTTCTAAAGTGAACTGAACGGAAGGCTCTACTGCGCTAAGGTTATCTATGAGCACGAAAAGATTGTGTTACATGCAGTGATGAGAATGTCGTCAACATGATTTCATCTAAGACATCAGGGATGATAAGACGGAAGATCTCGGCCTCTAGAAACTCCATGTAAAGATTAACGAGGATCACACTGTTAGATAATAATATTGCCATAGGGTTTGGATAGCTAGGGATCTAACTATGCACATCAGCGAACTCAAATATGCCTGCAACACATTACCAATAATGCTTGTGTTGCGTTGGAACACGGCCCTACACCACATGGATTAACTCAGAGCCAGTCTAGTATATGGTGAAAGACAAAAGTGGGAGCATATGCCTTGAATCTGTCCTACTACATATTGTGAACATTATTACTCAGGTATAAACTTTAGTAATTGATACCAAGAAGCGTTTACTCACGTGTCTTTTTTAACTCATTATCACCCAGAATCAAGGTAGTTTTCAGCTGAAGAACCCATTACCTCGCATGTTGCTCGGCATGCGCCTCCTACTGTTCTGACATTGCAATTCACGCCAACTCGTCACGTCCTTCTAGCCTATACAGTACATGTCTATGCCTACCATGTATTTTCTCTAGATTTGAGAAAGCTTAGTCTTCAAGTGAAAGACTGTATAGTTTCCATTCTGCTAAAGTATATTTTTTGGGCACATCAGGCGTCAGCACAACATACCCAGCTGTACCTAGAGTCAGTAGTCTGGCTTCAAAGACATTTTTCTGTACTGCAATAAAAGAGTGAAACAGACTGCCTGCACATGTCAAAGCCTGTCACAGCGTAAGCCAGTTCAAGAAGAGAGCCAAAATGTACCTCCTGAATATTCTTCAGAAAGGGAGGAGAGTAATTTCTTGTATGAAAATAACTAATTTTACTTCTCCTTTAGTATATTTTCTTTTATTGTAACTGCTTTTACATAGTTAAGATACTTAACTGTTTTTAACTTTTAAATATAAATAATAATTATCACAAAGACCCCAATGGACATAAGTCACTCTGACTGTTGGGTTATCCTATGCTGCTATGTATGATATTCTTTGTAATTGTGTATACCTGAATAAACTTAATGCGCAGCTTACCCAGCCGTCAACAGAACACACTACCTCACCTTACCAGTAGTACCAGTCATGTTTCCACAGCTGCCGTAAAAGTAGCGGTACTTTTTAGTGACGAAGCTGGGGTTCAGTGTAGGGATCTCATAGGCGAAGTTGGTGATGGTATCAGGAGTGAGGATGAGGGATCCATCCTTCTGTCTGTGTGCCCTGGCCTTGCTACCCGCCAGCATCACCTGAAGAAAAAATAAAATTTATTCAGAATATTTCAACCTACAGCTGCGATCCTCCTCAGCATATTTCTGAAGAGGACCTCAACTAGTGGTAGAAATACACACGCTATCATTCTTCCTTGTTTTTATCTCTTGTGGCTAAGGAATTGGATCTGTGCTCCAGTTCCCTGAATTATGCCTGAATACCTTCCACCCCCCACCCCCCACTTGTGCTTATAGTCCTATGGTTTTAGAGCTCCCCCATGATTATAAATTATAATTATCTCTTGTAGGATTTTCTATCTCATAGGTTTGTTTGTTGTTTTAAGGAAGTTAATAAAGTTAGTAAGGTGTGAGTAACTGGCGGAATGCGGTGTAGTGAACTGACTCGTGAACTGGATTACCGTGTTTGCCCTCACGTGCACATATGGCTTTTTTTTTTTTTTACTAATACCAGATCTTAATTCTTCCTGCCCAGTGCGTGAAATCATCGACTCCCTTTCGTCATCAACATTTAACAACTTAAAATATCTCCAACTTTCCCGTTCCTGTGCCCCTCCATTTAAAATAGTGAAGATCATCCTCCCTCAGACATCTCTTAATTATACTAATTATTTATTATATTTATTAATTATTTATTTATTATTATTATTATCACTATTTTTAGCGGGAAAGCGCTAAACCAGTAAGGGTCAGAAAGTACACGGGGAATGGGAGGCAATCAGATTTAATTCTAGGGCAGCCCCAATTCCCTGGATTAAAAGCCCTCCACCAGCATCAAGGTACTTTTGACAGCGGTAACTTTGGCTGGGTAAGCAAACGGTCGTTGTACACAGTGCTAAGACGGGTACGGTGTTCACATGTGGTCTGTCTTGTCTGCCAGATATGGTCACCTTACTGCGAGGGGCACTAAACCAAGGAACTGGACTTATCCTAATTTTCTTTGGATCGATGTGCATTGCATACTAGTGGCTTTCTTTTGGTGCATACACTGTTTTATTACATGTAAACTACATTATTTGTACTGCATAAAGAAATAAAATTTGCACTGAATCTGAAAGTTAACCACTCCCCAGGTGATCTGTGATCCCCTACGGAATTAACATCTCTCCTGATTAAACTTATTTTACTGGTAGAAGCAGTTGTTCTGTCTTCTCTGCAATATTGTCAGCAATGCTCTGTTAAGTTCCAGTTTACCACTAGTACAAGAATATAATTACCAAATTAAGTTCGGGCGCCGCTTTGTCTGTCACCTCAAGTGGAACGACGATTCTCTTGACGTTGCCTCCGTCCATTCGTTACCCAGGTTACCAGCCTCTCTCCTGGGGGTGAGGAAGTACATGATTTAGTAATCCTGTTTCTCACAGCGACTGAGGTCACTCTCTTGACGGCAGCTAATGCGAGGTCAATTTTAGGACACCACTGAATGCGTGGTCAGTTTCGTGATGTCAGTGATATTGAAGTGGTTACGGTGAATGCGATTTCAGCATGGGGGGGAGGGGGTTGTCACCGAATTTTAGGTAAGTGTTAGGGCGTCAGTGAATGTAAGGTTGGTGTGAAGACGTCTTAATCACATAATGAAAATGACGATAGAAGATAGTGAAAAGACTTAAAATGGAACGGAGCTTACTTTAGCACAAAGTATGTGAAGTATCTCCGTAATCGAGAAGTCTAGTCTTTGTTTTAAACAAGGAGTGGGACACCCTACAGATGAAACAAGAAGGAGATAGACCGCTACATGTCAGTGTTTGTGACAATACAAAATTAACGAGGCGAATAAAAACAGAAGACTTCCGCATGAAAGTTAAAGGAAGGATCCTGTGGTAGAGCACAAGCTCTAACACAGGACCATACACACGCTCACATGCACATGCAAGCGCGCACGCGACACACACACACACACACACACACACATACACATGTGCATGTTCTGAATATCCCACCCTGAGGTTTTTGAGGTGGAAGGCATGAAGGAGGTCTGGCTTCTTGTATGCGTTGACATCGATGATGACGTGATTGTCTTTCTCATAAGAGTTGATGATGTGCATAAAGAAGAATGACTCGCACTTTATCTTCAGCTTCACCTCCTTGCCCGTCTCGCGACTCACTAAGTGAATCTTCACCTGCAGGGAACACAGTAATGTGAGTCAGACAAGAAAGATAAGCAAAAATATGAATTTCCGGAAAAAAAAATGTGTGCAGTGCTTTTTGGTAAATCTGAAATTCTTAGATATGCATACTTCGTATTCTTTTTATTTTCCACTTTATTTTTCTGACATCTTAAATCATCATAAACTGCCTTTCAAGAAAGATTCGTAGGTGTGGGTAGATACGAAGGAATGGTATTGCCTCACATTTGATAGTATAGTTTATCTAGATGGTAAAAAGATACGTACAGCAAAAGGATATTTTTATTAGTACAGCGTTTAACCTACGTGAGTCTTGAAGCACAAAACCTTGTGTAGAAGAAACGTCATACTTATAAAAAGTCTCCTTTTCCTGTCTTTTCTTTTTACTTCTGGTCTGCTACTGCATACCTAAATTAGTTTTTTCTACGTACTCTTATGATTTTTCTTCACGCTAGAGTTCCTACAATTATATCTGCAAGTCAAGAGGTTATATTGTACCAGTTTGTTCTCCAACCACTCCATTCCGCCTATGAAGGGCTTCTCTCTGATGGTGTTAGCGACCATGGCTCTAACGTCGATGGTGAGTGGTTGTTCAAGTAGCACCAAATAGTTCTCTGTGAGGCCGAAGGAGTGCATGTGACAGGGGTTGAGCTTCCAGCGGGCGTCCACCGACCCGATCTTCTTGGGCTTGGCGAACACGCTGCCTGAAGGATGCATGGAAAGTTACACTTATTAATAATTCCGGGAAACGTCTTTCGTAGAGCCCGGTCCCCCACCATGCTTCCTGTATTGGGAATTGGGAATTTAGTATTACTGAAATAAGTAAAGAAATGTATAAATGAATACACAAAAAACCCGCACATAGGAGGATAAAACTTATGGTCCAAGTCGGACCGAAGCGTCTTCATGAGTTTCATTCTCCTATGTGCGGGTTATATGTGTTTTCCTGTGGAGAAAAATCCTCGTTGATAAGTTCCCTTCGGCTGATATTCTTTATTATAACAACATTCTTGGACTTATTTGGAACAATTCCAGTCAGGGTACTGTGCCTTTTTATTCTTATATAAACTGAATATGAGTAGAAATTTGTAAGATTTTAATATTTTGCATGTTTAACACAGAAAAATGTTGCCATAGTCCATTACTTTTAACATTCTTCCATTTCACATTCTTTGGCAGAATAGTAGTACATCCCTAAATGATTAATGCATGCGGGAGAAAAAGAATAAATAGGCAGTTGAACATATCAAACAACCTCAATGGGTTCGTTTAGGAGACTATTCTTTTCCACTTGTCCAGTTGCCGTGCCGTCTAAGATTACTGGTGCACCAGCACTCTCATGTTTCGACGATTGAGAGCGGAAAACAAAAATGTCTGAATGAGAACATATCTGTATGTATTGTACAGTGTCATTATTAAGCTCATACACTTATTAACAAAAAAAATCGGAGGGTTTCAACTGTCACAAATTAATGTGATTATAATTATAACCTTAATTTTAAAGGAGTGGACGGGTAAGCTAGTGGAAGGTCTTGGTCAGATGACCAAAAGCTCCAGTGACTGATCATATTACTAAGACCCGCGTTAGGAAACACTTGAACAGTTTCCTGGCGAATGTTACTTAACTTATCCTTTCAGTAGTTGTAGCGAGAATTTTTTTTTTTCAGTTTTTAGGGGGCGTTAGAGAATCTACCCTTGCCTTTTAAAGAGATGGGGCGTACTTACTCTTGCCGTTTAAGGGTGTAGTAGAGCACTTACTATTGCAGTCTAAGTGTGTGTGTGTGTGTATGTGTGTGTGTGGTAGAGCACTTTGTGTGGTGTAATACTTACTCTTGCCTTCTAAAGGTGTGGCGGGGAAGGTCATGATATCATACTTGGGACCAGTGGCACCAACACCGTGTAGAATGTTGAGGGTTGTGCCGTCAGCCAGCGTGCGAGGGTTGGGGCACTGTGAGTTGATTCCCAGCTCCTTGTGTAAGTCCACCTGCAGAAACAAAGGCCAGACACTTGCCAGGGAAGGAGAAATTTAGACAAACTGCATAAAATACCGACACGATGGAAGAAGATTCACAAATGTATTATACTGAGTTTGTTTCTGCTCATGGAAGGAGAGCCAGACTACGACTACAAGATTGTGTTAATTGTTCCTTCTTCCTACAAGGCTACCACGGAATGTGGTGGATGATGGAATATGCAGTTAAAGGATTGTGGCGGATGATATGGTATATTCAATCTTTCATTGCCCAGACTTTATTCTCACTATCTTGTTCTTCTCTATGTTCGTTTAATTCCTTCTTTTTACCTGCCCTCCCAAAATTTTACACCAACCTTTGCAATTTCACTTCAGAATCTTTCAGAAGTACTGTCATCGACACAGAGTAACTGAAACAACTCGCACTTTGTATCAGATTGATTATGTTTAATCTCACACCGCTTCCCAACACTCTAGCATTCACTTCTTTTACAATTCCATCTGCAAAGCATGTTAAACATCCATAGTGATATCACACATCACTCTCTAAGACCTACTTTAACTGTAAAATAATGTAACCTAACCCGATTCTCGATTTCATTTTATATATATAATATATATATATATATATATATATATATATATATATATATATATAATATATATATAATATATATACATACATAATATTATATATATATATATATATATACTATATATAATAATATATATATATATATATATATATATTATATATATATATATATATATATATATATATATATATATATATATATAATATTCAACAAGTCGGCCGTCTCCCACCGAGGCAGGGTGACCCAAAAAAGAAAGAAAATCCCCAAAAAGAAAATACTTACATTATCATTCAACACTTTCACCACACTCACACATTATCACTGCTTTTGCAGAAGTGCTCAGAATACAACAGTTTAGAAGCATATACGTATAAAGATACACAACATATCCCTCCAAACTGCCAATATCCCAAACCCCTCCTTTAAAGTGCAGGCATTGTACTTCCCATTTCCAGGACTCAAGTCCGACTATATGAAAATAACCGGTTTCCCTGAATCCCTTCACTAAATATTACCCTGCTCACACTCCAACAGATCGTCAGGTCCCAAGTATCATTCATCTCCATTCACTCCTATCTAACACGCGCATGCACGCTTGCTGGAAGTCCAAGCCCCTCGCCCACAAAACCTCCTTTACCCCCTCTTTCCAACCCTTTCGAGGACGACCCCTACCCCTCCTTCCTTCCCCTATAGATTTATATGCTTTCCATGTCATTCTACTTTGATCCATTCTCTCTAAATGACCAAACCACCTCAACAACCCCTCTTCTGCCCCTCTGACTAATGCTTTTATTAACTCCACACCTTCTCCTAATTTCCACACTCCGAATTTTCTGCATAATATTTACACCACACATTGCCATTAGACAGAACATCTCCACTGCCTCCAACCGTCTCCTCGCTGCTGCATTTACCACCCAAGCTTCACATCCATATAGGAGTGTTGTTACTACTATACTTTCATACATTCCCTTCTTTGCCTCCATAGATAACGTTTTTTGACTCCACATATACCTCAAACGCACCACTCACGTTTTTTTCCCTCATCAATTCTATGATTAACCTCATCCTTCATAAACCCATCCGCCGACACGTCAACTCCCAAGTATCTGAAAACATTCACTTCTTCCATACTCCTCATCCCCAATTTGATATCCAATTTTTCTTTATCTAAATCATTTGATACCCTCATCACCTTACTTTTTCTATGTTCACTTTCAACTTTCTACCTTTACACACATTCTCAAACTCATCCACTAACCTTTGCAATTTTTCTTTAGAATCTCCATAAGCACAGTATCATCAGCAAAAAGTAACTGTGTCAGTTCCCATTTTGAATTTGATTCCCCATAATTTAATCCCACCCCTCTCCCGAACACCTTAGCATTTACTTCTTTTACAACCCCATCTATAAATATATTAAACAACCATGGTGACATTACACATCCCTGTCTAAGACCTACTTTTACCGGGAAGTATTCTCCCTCTCTTCTACACACCCTAACCTGAGCCTCACTATCCTCATAAAAGCTCTTTACAGCATTTAGTAACTTACCACCTATTCCATATACTTGCAACATCTGCCACATTGCTCCTCTATCCACTCTATCATATGCCTTTTCTAAATCCATAAATGCAATAAAAACTTCCCTACCTTTATCTAAATACTGTTCACATATGTGCTTCAATGTAAACACTTGATCTACACATCCCCTACCCACTCTGAAGCCTCCCTGCTCATCCGCAATCCTACATTCTGTCTTACCTCTAATTCTTTCAATTATAACCCTACCGTATACTTTTCCTGGTATACTCAGTAGACTTATTCCTCTATAATTTTTACAATCTCTTTTGTCCCCTTTCTCTTTATATAAAGGGACTATACATGCTCTCCGCCAATCCCTAGGTACCTTCGCCTCTTTCATACATTTATTAAACAAAAGTACCAACCACTCCAACACTATATCCCCCCCTGCTTTTAACATTTCTGTCATGATCCCATCAGTTCCAGCTGCTTTACCCCCTTTCATTCTACGTAATGCCTCACGTACCTCCACCACACTTACATTCTGCTCTTCTTCACTCCTAAAAGATGGTATATATATATATATATATATATATATATATATATATATATATATATATATATATATATATATATATATATATATATATATATATATATATATAATATATATATATATATATATATATATGGATTAAACTAAATTCTCAGAGTATATGCACTGAGAGATATACACCTCTCCATGTATATACGTTAGGAGATGTATATTTCTCAGTGTACATACAATGAGAGTTATACACTTCTCACTGTATTCGTGGCTTCACCTTGCTGATAGTTTCAAGTGTATTTGGGTTGATCTTGTGCAGGAAGGGCGCCTCCGTGGTGCAGTAGTACTCACCACCAAAGATGACTACACCAACTGGCGCGTTGTCTGAGAACATCTTGTCGAAGGCAAACTTATCTCCCAACCTGCAGAGAGGAAGAGGCGAGACTCTCAGTGAATGATTCAGCTGCGCCATTAAACAAAATATTTTTGTTTCACCCATACTTCGTGTGATGCGACCAACAACGGTCGACTAACACTCAGGTACCTACTACCTGGACAGGGGCACGAGGCGTCAGGAAACATGCCCAGTGTTTACACCCGTACCGGGGATCGAACCACGGGCACACAGTATGCTTGCTGAGGGTGCTGCCAAATGAGTCACGGTGATACTGCAGTGTTTACTACACTTTTTTATTATTTTAGAAAAAACTGGTTTTGGTCTCTGTGTACTGAAGAACAGACACGCATCTCACCCAAGTGTTCCTGTTCCGCTCTGTGTAACTTGTGGCGTGTAGCTGTGGGTCATATTTAAATGTTCCACAACTTATGACTTCTCACTTCTCACTGTCTTCGCGATTTTTATAATTAGGGAAAGGGAAATTGTGGGGACCTTGGAAACCTTTTAGGATAATTTTTTTTTTTTTTTGACAGTTAAGTGAGATTTTTCACTGATTTTTAACTTGGTAAATTGTATTTATTTGCGTTGTGTGTTATATTCATCCTAAAAAAAATATATTTTTAGTTTTATTAGTATTTTTATATTGTATTTATTTTTACTCACAAAAGCGCTCAATGATTTTGACTTGGTCAAGGCGTTCTTCAAATTTCAAAATTACCTATCAACAGTGTTCATGGGTAAACAGATTGGTACTAGGCATCTCCTTCCGCCGTCAGCACAGCTGTATGACCCTAGTAGGTTTAGCGCTTCTTTTTTATTGTAATGATAATCTGCCGTCAGCAGGTGACTGATCTGACGAGACTCACATCATGACAACAACATTCCATGGTTTTCTAAATCATTTATACAAACATTCTCATAGGAACACCTTGATGTCGGTGAAGGACTCTTGATCCAAGGAGTTGGAACTGCCCTTCTTCTGTGGATTAAATATGATTACCTCCCCTCCTCTTCATCGTGTCCTGCATGGACCTGACAGGTTTGGCGCTTCCCATGAATAAAATATGTCAAGAATATCAAGTCAAAACTGTAGCAATAAGATTACGCCATCATCACTATATGTATACTGTATGTATACACCTCCAGGTGTATACACACCTCCAGGTGTATACACACCTCCAGGTGTATACACACCTCCAGGTGTATACACACCTCCAGGTGTATACACACCTCCAGGTGTATACACACCTCCAGGTGTATACACACCTCCAGGTGTATACACACCTCCAGGTGTATACACACCTCCAGGTGTATACACACCTCTAGGTGTATACACACCTCCAGGTGTATACACACCTCCAGGTGTATACACACCTCCAGGTGTATACACACCTCCAGGTGTATACACACCTCCAGGTGTATACACACCTCTAGGTGTATACACACCTCTAGGTGTATACACACCTCCAGATGTATCTGTATATTAGCTAAAAGCTTACTTTAATTCGTGTTTTAGGGACTAAAGTATTCTCGACTGGTGGTGAACAGGTAACATGCAGCCACAATGATCATCGTGTAGTCGATAGGTTTGAAACCCCCCTTTAAGCAACTAAGAGAAGAAGTGACCATAGCTAATACTTGAAATTTCAGTAAAAAATTTATGTTTTTAATTTTCAGTTAGGTTTAGAATAGGTTAGGTTAAATTAACGTTTAATTACCCGACAACGAAAAAAATAGGACAGATTAATTACGGTTGGCGGTGCGAAGCGTTATTTCAACATCATGTACTTTCACGGTCAAGGTAACAGCTGTCGAGGATCTCCTGCATATACCGCTCGGGGAGAGGAGTAGGTAGAGGAATAGTAATCAGATTTGATCCAAGGAAGGAGAGAAAATCTCCAGTTCCCTGTGTCTGGAGTTCCTCGCCAGCTCAGGAACTAAAGCAACAGACATACTTGCTGAGTGCACTTTTGGCGATGGACTTGCCCGTCGTCCCGAACTCTGAGACGACGATTTGCTTGTGTTCAAGGTTAGTGGTGTAGGCGTAACTGCGGAGGAACCTGGAGGCGAAACTCACGCCAGTCTCCCCGAAGGTGAATTTCTGCAGCAACGCTGAGCCGTCGAAGACATGGTTGAACTCGTTCTCCCCATAGGTCATGCGCCCCGGGCCATCCAGCAGATACGAGCCTCGAAGCCAGGGTGGTACTGTACCTGCGGGAGAGCTGTAGGGTAATTCAATATACATTTTTTATCGCTCTCAAGAGGGATGTCCTGATGCTGGTTAAGTTGTCAAAAATGAAAGGATTCTATTGATACTATTGTTTTGAGTTCTTTCATGGATAGACATCCTTATTATATGTCTTTCATTTGAACACCATCATATTTCTCTTCATTTTAAGGCCTTCAGGAGCGCAGGTCCAGGTCTATACTGTTTTCCTGCTTTAGTTTTTTCTTCCACCTTTTTCATCTTTACTAAAATTTAAAGACTGATGTAGTTTGAAGGGACAGATATAAACCCACAAAATTTATGGCTAAGGGAACGACTTATCGCAATACAAATATCTGAAGATTTTCTCAGTTCAAGGTTCAATTAAACCCTTAAATAGCGTTATGGCGTCCACCTGATGTTGGAACAACTCCAAGACACTATGAAATAAGGAACAACAACAGGTAGTAACACTTGTGGATGAATAATGGGGAAGGAAAGACTATCATCGTCGCCTGGAATATTAGGTCGTAGTTTATTTCCTCTCTCTATTCATGTACTCTTGTGCTGCTGTCCAAGGGGTCACACACAATGCACACAGTAAACTAGCCGTTTTGACATTACAATCTAAATTTAAAAGACCATTAAACTGTCTGTCAGAATAAGTAGTAGTAGAACAGACATGGTCACCCAGGAAGTAAAAGCAGTTGACAGGGTGGTGAAAGCCCACCGCCCCCTCCTCCTTAAAGTGTGAGGAAGGGCTTTGTCTCTCTCTCTCTCTCTCTCTCTCTCTCTCATCTCTCTCCTCTCTCTCTCTCTCTCTCTCTCTCTCTCTCTCTCTCTCTTCTCCTCTCTCTCTCTCTCTCTCTCTCTCTCAAATATATATACACACACACGCACACACACACACACACACACACACACACACACACACACACACACACACACACACACACACCACACACACACAACACACACAGGAGCCAGGAGCTGTGAATCGACCCCTGCAACCACAAATAGGTGAGTACACACGGGGCCAGGAGCTAAGTCTCGACCCCTGCAACCACAATTAGGTGAGTACACATACAAACATACATACAGGAACTTGAAACACAAGGATTTTCCTTCAGTGTTATCCTATTAAATCTGGTTATCGTGGTTTTATATAACAAGAAAAGATAAAATTTGGAAACAAAAATTGTCAAGAGGAGGGGAGGAAGGTGGATATGTAACTTGATCACCCACGTTATGTGAAGAAAGTGAGGGAGATGATGGAAGGTATACAGTCTTCCCCATCGTGGGATGTATGATAGAGACTCCCTCGTAGGCTTTCAGGGACACATGAAATGCAAATAATTAACTTGTAAAGGTTGAGGACAGAAGAACAGTCAACTACCCACTAAATGTTTTGCTTCCATAAAAGTGTGGTGGCATCTGCACCACCATCTGCACCATCATCTGCACCACTATCTGCACTACCAGACACAGATCTCGCTGACCACACGAATGCATGCACAACTCTGGTGGAAATAAGTCACCTTGACTTTTTTGTTTTGGGTTATCCTAGGTAATTTACACACGTTACTATTTATTTATTTATTTATTTATTTATTTATTTATGTCTTTGCAAATAGTATATTGAGATTTTGTATTTACAATAGTGGGTTGCAATGCAAAGAGAGCCTCTATTATGCCTAGGCATTATGGGCCAACTTAACAGACTTACAGACTACTTAACACTAAGAATTATGTCATAGTTGTACAGTAGAGTATTAATTATATCATAGTTGTACAGTAGATTATTAATTATAAGTGAATCTAATTTATATAAGACAAAAGATATATTCATATATTCTAAAATTCTTTTTGTGAAAACAATGATTCAATTATATTCCTGTCAACAATGGATAAAAGGTTCAAAGTGATTGTTGAAGTTATGATGTGGGAGTACATAGGTGAGTAAGTGTGTACTGAGTATTTAGCATTTAGTCTAGGGTGATTAAGTGACTTTTGAGAAGAGTCTTAAATTGATTTTCAGACCGGGTTACTTTAGTATCTTCTGGTAACGAATTCCAAATTTAGGGGCCCTTTATGTGCATAGAGTTTTTACACAGTGTGATATGGACACGAGGTATATCAAAAAGAGATTTGTGTCTTGTGTTGTGGTCATGTGTCCTGCTGAGGTTGGTGAGGAGAAGTTTGAGTGGAGGGTTTATATTTGCGTGTATTGTTCTGTGTATGTAGTAGGCACATGAATAAGTATGGATGTTCTTAATGGTGAGCAGATTCAGACTTTTGAAAATTGGTGGAGTATGCTGGCGGGAGTGGGAATTTGTTACCATTCTGACTGCTGCCTTTTGCTGGGTTATTAGAGGTCTTAGGTGATTGGATGTTGTTGATCCCCATGCACAAATTCCATAGTTGAGATAAGGGTATATGAGTGAATGGTACAGCGCCAGGAGAGCTGATTGTGGAACGTAGTACCTTATCTTTGATAGTATGCCTACAGTCTTGGAGATTTTCTTGGTGATTTGTTGTATGTGTGTCTGGAACTTAAGGCTGCTGTCAAGGTGGATACCTAGGAATTTTCCCTCTGTGAGTCTTGTGACTGATGATAATTGTACTTGTGTGTGCCTGTACCTATATAACACTGTATAGCCCTTGTGGTTTAGCGCTTCTTTTTGATAATAATAATAATAATAATAATAATAATAATAATAATAATAATAATAATAAAATAATAATAATAATATTAATAATAATAATAATAATAATAATAATAATAATAATAATAATAATAATAATAATAATAATGTACCTATATAAACTTAAAGCCTTTTACCTGGGTAGTATATCTAACACCCCAGATGTATTTCGGTCGCGTGGGAGCAGAGGAAGGTATCTCTGTATTCCAATAACTCCGCCCCCCCCCCGCCTGGCTCAGTGCAATTGATTGTAATAATGTAGTGAGCGCAGTTAAGTACTGACACTGAATGAATCACGAAATCGTAATGACACTATTTGCAAACAAACCACGGTACGGGTGGGGATTGAACTCGCGGAAGATGAGTCGTAAAACGACTCAATTGCCGGGAGTTCAATCCCCGCCCGTGCCGTGGTTTATTAGCATTGAATATTTGAAGAGAATTAGAAGAGGCATTCACAAGTTGTCTAATGGAAACAAAACATCGAAATTTCTTTAGTGATAAGAGCAAATTAGGACTTAGTCTAAATCTAATTCAGATCTTTCAAGGGGACCAAAGGGAAAAATATTGTAATATGCACATTAAGCTGGAAGTCGCTCAGATGTTGCGTCGTCAAGTTATCAGCATGGAAGTGTTGACGCTACTCGCATGCCACGGCGACACTCTCATTATCGCTTGAAAAGCAGTGTTAAATTTTTCCAGTGTCCTCCAGAAAAACAAATTGGGACATACACAGACCAGAATCAATCCAAACTTTTTCTTAAGCTTGACCAGCCTTTAAGTATTGCAAGTAAGTGTTATAAAAGCTTAGTGTACATATTTTTTTTAATAATGGTCTTGATTGCAGCACAGGTGTTATAGGGACATACAGCTAAAAAGTCAACACAGAGACTTATTTCTGATCAGAAGTGACATTATCCAATTATTTTACATATTAATAATTTAATTAATAAAATTAGCATGTAACTTGCACAACGTAAAGCCATGAGATTGTTTCCTATGAAGAAAAAATGTCGGCATTAAAAGTATAAGGCTAAAAGATATATTTTCCAGTTCTTGATACGCCACTGAAGTTTTGGAAGTTGTCAGAGCCATTCCAGGAGGATTCGAATGGGTTCAACAACGTTGATCGTAGGGCAGATGAATTCATCAGATGTTGCAAGATTTTGTCCTAGTTACCGTACACAATGTTGAATATTTGAAGGCGACTGGATGAGGTTTTCTCGAGTTATGAGCGAAATAAAATAGGAAAGTAGGAGAAAAAAGTATTAGACGATCTCTTTAAGGTCCCACTTCAGGGATACCTGATAATTGCGATTAATACACTAGAAGGAATCTTAGCTTTATTGACCCATCTTTCTCGCACAAGAATTAGAAGTTGTCTGTATAAGAGGTGGTAAAGAAGGTGTTCTAAGGGTTCTTGGCTTCATTGATGGTGGTGGCAGTGACATGATTATCATCACTAATGATAATGATCATGTAACTAGTGATGATGATCATGTCATTAGTGATGATGATCATGTCACTAGCGATGGTGATCATGTCACTGGTGGTGATCATGTCACTGGTGGCAGTGATCATGTCACTAGTGGAGATCATGTCACTGGTGGTGGAGATCATGTCACTGGTGTTGGAGATCATGTCAATGGTGATAGTGGTTTGTGTAATGACACGAGTGTGTCTGCAGTAGACAGGAAATCTCTAACACACGAGTCAGGGCATCCCCCTCCTCATCCCACTCCCACAATACTTGCCTCGATAATGCTTTAAATTTATATAAAAGACTAGCCAGAAGGAATACTTGCGGATGATGCAAAAAAAAAGTCATGGCACCAAAAAAAAAAAATCGAAATAACTATAGTTTCCAGTAAGTCAGGAACCATAGGGAAAATTAAAACAAAAAATAAAGACAAAAGGCAAAAATAAAAGCATTTAGGAATAAAATCGTTTAGAAAGTTTTCAGTGTCTAGCCTTGTTATTTATACACGAATGTAGACGAGACATTTACTCAGTATAAAACCCTTACAAATTTATATAAACTGAGCATACTAGTTTAACGAATTTTTATCAGAACCTGCATCATGGAGAAGAAAGTGGAAACAGGCTGAAGACAGAATGTATTTTTACATTCACTGGGAAGCACCGAACCCTCAGGGGGTTCTACAAGGCACTGAAAATGAAAGGCAAACAGCTTTGATGTGAGAAATGGAAGGGAAAGCTATGATTCTTTGAATCAAGAGCCCTTCAGCAGGAAAGAATCCCCTTCATTGAAAGGCAGTATACAAGATGAAAAATAAAATCTTACGAAGCTCGGAGAGACAAAGGAATCTGAAAATAATTACAAACAAGAGAGTATCTCAGACAGGCGACATACATGCAATGGCAAGAAATTCAATAGCAGATTTACCCTGTCAGTTGGATGACGAGAGCAAGTCAAGACATTTGGAATTTTTGACCTTGAGCTGTGGTATCTCCAAGGCCAAGGAAACCTTCGACTCTCTCAGTATTGTGATACCGTTGAGACAACCTCTGATAAGATCTCGTTCAAGGTGAGAACATTTGAGCGAAGGAAGGTGATAGTTCGGGTACAGATCAAGAGAGGAGACATTATCTCTATCATGTCTCGTCTCCCAGCCACTCAGTGACTGTCACAGATAATACCAGCAGTTTAACACACGGACAATGCCCTACAGTTTAGATGACTTAAGGGTTATTATCTTCAATCTGCTGCTGAAGGTTTTTGTTGTAAGCCGAAATATACAGTATTCTTTCATTCAACTTTATTTTCTGTGTAGTTTAATTTATGCGTTATATAATATACCAACACAATATATATATATAAAATATATATATATATATTATTTTATATATTATTATATATATATATAATTTATATTAATTGGTAAATTTTATAATATATATTTTATATGGGAGGCTGTTTTTACAGCAAAAAAAGGGGGCGGGTAGAGGGTTTCATCATTGATTTTTTTTTCAAAAGGTTAACCAGTTTGACAGGAGCCTGAATGCGTGTTGTTTTAGAGTTGTGTGTCAGAGTCTTGGCAATATATATGTGCACACATATTTTTTTCTTTTTGGGTCACCCTGCCTCGGTGGGAGAAGGCCGACTTGTTGAAAAAAATATATATATGTGACCTACACTGTGGGGAAGCTCAACACCTTGTATCTCACGGATACACTAATATTCCCTGCAGTGTGGTGCCTTGGTGCTGGTGAAGGTCTCTTGATTCAAGGAATCGGAGCTATCCTCCCTTATGAAGAATTCAAAACTTCTGCAACATTTGGGAATCTGTTGTGGAAACGTCTTACCAACAAGTGGCTTCTTCAGTCCTGTACTGTACGTTTGAGGAAATCAGTCCCTCAGCCTTGAGTCAGCTCCAGGCTGAGGGACTGATTACCTCAAACTCCTCATCTTCCACTATTCACCTCTGTACAGGACTGAGGAAGTCACTTGTTGGCAAGAAATTTCCACAATAAAGATTACCAAATGTTTCAAAAGTTTCTAATTCTTTAACTTATTAGTTTTGTAAGTTATTTACATAATACCTCTCATATAACTACACAGTTCACCAAACTCTTGGTTCACTGTAATGTATAGGAACCTAACACGTGTATTAGAGCACCAACAGGCTGATTGATCAGACATCAGTGGACGGAGGATCGATAATCCACTATTATGCTAGAATAATCCTCACGGGTTTAATGTTTCACGAAATACGATGCAACCGTGACTTAGAGACGACAGTGTATACAAAACGTCGTGTCCACTGACTTGCCGCTTAGACATAAGATTGCAGTTAGTTGATGGAGGTTTGAGCCTTCGTCCTGCATCTTGAAGCACAAAGCATTTATGCATGGGTGTTCGTAGAAGCTTACTTAATGACTGTAGTGACTGTGTAAGATGTACTGGGAACCGACCCAGTATCCTCGCAGTCACCAGTCTGCAGCAACACTGGCTAATTCTTGGGTTAGTGAAGAACAATTCTACACAACACACAAACTTGTAGGCTGCCATACTACCCATTCTATGAGTCAGACTTTAAAAGAAGGTTTGGAATGCTGTTGGAGTGTTTAGGTGTCAGTTTGCTACTTCAGTTAAACTGGTATGGTATTTTTCTCCATATATAATTGTGTATGCCTCTTATGAAAGGCTACAGTCTTTATGTAGGATACACGATTGTTGAAAGTTTGAAACCAGTCAGTGGAATCATTCTCAAGTTATTACACGGATTCCAAAAACCCAGAAATAGTCTATAAAAATGACCAGTAGAAACTTTCATAAGTTAATGGTTACATGACCTTCTCCCTAGTTACAATATAGCAGCGTTGAAAATTTGAAGCCGATCGGATCAGGCGTTCTCGAGTTATAAAGGAAAACCTCGAAAGAACGAAAATCTGTCAATCATAGACTGGGTGGGTTTTAAACCTATGGCAGGTGAGTCTTAAAACTCACTACTGGGCCAGTTGGCTCTAATAAGATTCATACAACTAGGTATATTTCTATACACCATAGGGAGGTTAGCATGGGCCACCACTGTGACCGTTCCCTAATTTGTTTGCAACCATGTCAATACGATTTCTTGAATCATCTGTCAATCACTTATGGGTAGCCCTTCGAGGAGACTTAATCCCATGTTGTGATGTGATAATTTTTTACAAGGTGCACTGGTAAGCCAGAGGAAGACCTTGGTCATATGACCAGAAGGTCCACTGAGTGTGTCATCGTCCGACTGAGACCCGTGTTAGGACTCTTATAATTATGAAGTAGCGATAAATTCGTACAGCTCCTGGAAAATGGAAGGTAATCTAATTCCGTGGATCAAACAGCCTTCAGCAGCAGCGAGGCAGCTCCTCGAAGGCCCTGCGTCAGGAAACATTCTTTATATTACACTCGACAAATTTAATACCAAGTCTACCGTATACAGAATAGTCTTACCTTTCACAGTACCGTCAATGGGTATCACTTGCTCCTCCAAACAGTTCCTGTCCCAGGTGGAAAAGTCGTACGGCATCTTGTCTTGTGGAAGGGACAAATGGAACGGGAGTTGGAAGGAAAGACGTATCAGCCAGAGGAACAGACGGTGCTCAGTGATACACAGCAGTACTGGGAGTAGCAGAATCGCTAGTGGTGTATATACTGGAGCGGCAGTGCTTTCTGTACAAGCGCTGCCTCACAAACTGGTGCAGGAGACAACCTCACACTGTAGCCGCCGGGTGACTGAGACCATTAATGAGATACAGACGCTATTTAACCGTGCAGGTGGTGAGTGAGCGGTCCTCGGGAGCTGGTGTGCCCGACCTCTGTGCTTCACCACGTAGTAACTGGCAAATTCAGATTCCTCAGTTGTGCCGAGAAGAGGTACACGGAGGCGAGGAGGAAGAGGGAGGTAGGGAGAGAGAAAGGGAGGGTGGTAGGGAGAGAATTTAAACTTTTTACGATGGTTTTATAAAACAGAAGGTAACCTAGGATAACCCATTTAAATCTATGACTTGTTTCCATTGAGGTCCTGAAGGAGGAAGGGATGGATGGAGGGATGCTAGGGGAGGGACCAGAAGACATGGACGATTTTTTTATTATAGAAAATTGGTACATCAGCAGTGAATTTAGCATGGAAGTAGGAGTGGAGGCTCGCTGGGTTTCCTTGTCATGCGCTAAAACATAGGATATGGTCACGCATTACACCATGGGTTCAGTATTTACGGGATCTTTAAAGATTTCGTCCTAGCAGACTTTGAGTTACTATTACTTCTGGATTACTATTTCTTTGGCTAGCCTATCGCACACTATTTTTAACACACCGACCGTCCCCCATCGACGTTTACCTGGAGTTTACCTGGAGAGGGTTTCAGGGGTCAACGCCTCCGAGGCTCGGTCTGAGACCAGGTTTGATTTAAAAAAAAAGGAATGACACCGCCATTCGGTCAGTCACTGTCTTGTCAGAAACTTGCTGATTTTACAGTTCAGATGGTTCTCCGAAGTGCAGCATCTTTACCCTTCCTTCAAAGTGAAGGAACTGTACTTTCTGCCTCTTGATATACGAAGCATTTCTGATACAGAGAGGTATGGTAGGCAGGGAATAGTATTAATGGGGGAATACTTGGATTTTAAGAGGATGTGAGTTATGGAAATGGAATTGAAAAAATATAAATGGGATGGGTAGAGTCATGGAGAGCTGGAGGAGGAGCAAAGTCATGGAGTACCGGGGGGATAAAGTCGTGGAGAGTTGAAAGGAGAAGTCTAGGACAGCTGTTGTTGTTTGTCTTGTGGTACACCTAGATAAGTGAATGTGGTAGGTGTAGATGCAGGTGGAGGCTGTGGTTGCAGGCGGAGGCTGTGGTTGCAGGCGGAGGCTGTGGTTGCAGGCGGAGGTTGTTGCAGGCGAGCTGTGGTTGCAGGCGAGGTTGGGCTCAGCGGAGGTTGTGGTTGCAGGCGGAGGTTGTGGTTGCAGGCGGAGGTGTGGTTGCAGGCGGAGGTTGTGGTTGCAGGCGGAGGTGTGGTTACAGGCGGAGGTTGTGGTTGCAGGCGGAGGTTGTGGTTGCAGGCGGAGGCTGTAGTTGCAGGCGGAGGTTGTGGTTGCAGGCGGAGGTTGTGGTTGCAGGCGGAGGTTGTGGTTGCAGGCGGAGGCTGTAGTTGCAGGCGGAGGCTGTGGTTGCAGGCGGAGGGTGTGGTTGCAGGCGGAGGCTGTGGTTGCAGGCGGAGGTTGTGGTTGCAGGCGGAGGCTTGTAGTTGCAGGCGGAGGTTGTGGTTGCAGGCGGAGGTTGTGGTTGCAGGCGGAGGTTGTGCTTGCAGGCAGAGGTTGTGCTTGCAGGAGGAGGTTGTGGTTGCAGGCGGAGGCTGTGGTTGCAGGCGGAGGCTGTAGTTGCAGGCGGAGGCTGTGGTTGCAGGCGGAGGTTGTGGTTGCAGGCGGAGGTTGTGGTTGCAGGCGGAGGTTGTGGTTGCAGGCGGAGGCTGTAGTTGCAGGCGGAGGCTGTGGTTGCAGGCGGAGGCTGTGGTTGCAGGCGGAGGCTGTGGTTGCAGGCGGAGGTTGTGGTTGCAGGCGGAGGCTGTAGTTGCAGGCGGAGGTTGTGGTTGCAGGCGGAGGTTGTGGTTGCAGGCGGAGGTTGTGCGTTGCAGGCGGAGGTTGTGCTTGCAGGCAGAGGTTGTGCTTGCAGGAGGAGGTTGTGGTTGCAGGCGGAGGCTGTGGTTGCAGGCGGAGGTTGTGGTTGCAGGCGGAGGTTGTGGTTGCAGGCGGAGGTTGTGGTTGCAGGCGGAGGCTGTGTGTCAGGCGGAGGTTGTGGTGCAGGCGGAGGTTGTGGTTGCAGGCGGAGTGTGTTGCAGGCGGGTGTGGTTGCAGGCGGAGGTTGTGGTTGCAGGACGGAGGTTGTGGTTGCAGGCGGAGGCTGTGTTGCAGGCGGAGGCTGTGGTTGCAGGCGGAGGCTGTGGTTGCAGGCGGAGGTTGTGTTGCAGGCGAGGTTGTGGTTGCAGGCGGAGGCTGTAGTTGCAGGCGGAGGTTGTGTTGCAGGCGGAGGTTGTGGTTGCAGGCGGAGGTTGTGGTTGCAGGCGGAGGTTGTGCTGAGGCTGGGTTGGCATTGCAGAGAGGCTGTGGTTGCAGGCGGAGGCTGTGGTTGCAGGCGGAGGCTGTGGTTGCAGGCGGAGGCTGTGAGTTGCAGGCGGAGGCTGTGGTTGCAGGCGGAGGTTGTGGTTGCAGGCGGAGGTGTGTTGCAGGCGGAGGTTGTGGTTGCAGGCGGAGGTTGTGGTTGCAGGCGGAGTGTGTTGCAGGCGGAGGTGTGGTTGCAGGCGGAGGTTGTGGTTGCAGGCGGAGGCTTGTGGTTGCAGGCGGAGGCTGTGGTTGCAGGCGGAGGCTGTAGTTGCAGGCGGAGGTTGTGGTTGCAGGCGGAGGCTGTGGTTGCAGGCGGAGGCTGTGGTTGCAGGCGGAGGTGTGTTGCAGGCGGAGTTGTGTTGCAGGCGGAGGCTGTGGTTGCAGGCGGAGGCTTGTGTTGCAGGCGGAGGTGTGGTTGCAGGCGGAGGTGTGTTGCAGGCGGAGGCTGTGGTTGCAGGCGGAGGCTGTGGTTGCAGGCGGAGGCTGTGGTTGCAGGCGGAGGCTGTGGTTGCAGGCGGAGGCTGTGGTTGCAGGCGGAGGTTGTGGTTGCAGGCGGAGGTTGTAGGTTGTCAGGCGGAGGCTGTGGTTGCAGGCGGAGGCTTGTGGTTGCAGCGGAGGTTGTGTTGCAGGCGGAGGTTGTGTTGCAGGCAGTTGTGGCAGCGAGGCTGTGTGTTGCAAGGCGGAGGCTGTGGTTGCAGGCGGAGGTTGTGGTTGCAGGCGGAGGTGTGGTTGCAGCGGAGGCTGTGTTGCAGGAGGAGGTTGTTCTGCAGGCGAAGTTTGTTGCAGCGGTAGGGATTTGGTTGCAGGCGAGGTTGTGTTGCAGGCGGAGCTGTAGTTGCAGGCGAGGTTGTGGTTGCAGGCGGAGGTTGTTGTTCAGGGGAGGCTGTAGTCAGCGAAGCTGTGTTGCAGGCGAGCTGTTGCAGAGCTGTGGTTGCAGCGGAGGTTGTGTGCAGGCGGAGCGTTATGTTGCAGGCTGAGTTGGTTGCAGGCGAGGAATGTTGCAGGCGGAGTTGTGTTGCAGGCGAGGTCTGTGCTTGCACGAGTTGTGCAATGCAGCGAGGCAGTGGTTGCAGGCAGGTGTGCTGCAGCGGAGCTGTGTTGCAGCGGAGGCTGTGGTTGCAGGCGAGAGGCTGTGGTTGCAGGCGAGTTGTGTTGCAGGCGGAAGTTATGTGTTGCAGGCGGAGGTTGTGGTTGCAGGAGGAGGTTGTGGTTGCAGGCAAGGTTGTCGTTTGCTTAGCGCGATGGTTTGTTGGTTGATGGCCGAGGTTGTGTTGCAGGCGTAGGATGTATGTCCAGCGGATTCTGTGGTTGCAGGCGAAGATTGTTGCAGGCGGAGGCTGTAGTGCAGGCGGAGTTCGTGGTTGCAGGCGGAGGCTGTAGTTGCAGGCGGAGCTTGGTTGCGGCGAGGTTGTGGTTGCAGGCGGAGGCTGTAGTTGCAGGCGGAGGCTGTGGTTGCAGGCGGAGGCTGTGGTTGCAGGCGAGGCTGTAGTTGCAAGGCGGAGGCTGTGGTATGCAGGCGGAGGCTGTAGTTGCAGGCGGAGGCTGTGGTTGCAGGCGGAGGTTGTGGTTGCAGGCGGAGGCTGTAGTTGCAGGCGGAGGCTGTGGTTGCAGGCGGAGGCTGTAGTTGCAGGCGGAGGCTGTGGTTGCAGGCGGAGGTTGTGGTTGCAGGCGGAAGTTGTGGTTGTAGGCGGAGGTTGTGGTTGCAGGAGGAGGTTGTGGTTGCAGGCGGAAGTTGTGGTTGCAGGCGGAGGTTGTGGTTGCAGGCGGAGGTTGTGGTTGCAGGCGGAGGCTGTAGTTGCAGGCGGAGGTTGTGGTTGCAGGCGGAGGCTGTAGTTGCAGGCGGAGGCTGTGGTTGCAGGCGGAGGTTGTGGTTGCAGGCGGAGGCTGTAGTTGCAGGCGGAGGCTGTGGTTGCAGGCGGAGGCTGTGGTTGCAGGCGGAGGCATGTAGTTGCAGGCGGAGGCTGTGGTTGCAGGCGGAGGCGTAGTTGCAGGCGGAGGCTGTGGTTGCAGGCGGAGTTGTGGTTGCAGGCGGAGGCTGTAGTTGCAGGCGGAGGCTGTGGTTGCAGGCGGAGGCTGTAGTTGCAGGCGGAGGCTGTGGTTGCAGGCGGAGGTTGTGGTTGCAGGCGGAAGTTGTGGTTGTAGGCGGAGGTTGTGGTTGCAGGAGGAGGTTGTGGTTGCAGGGGGAAGTTGTGGTTGCAGGCGGAGGTTGTGGTTGCAGGCGGAGGTTGTGGTTGCAGGCGGAGGCTGTAGTTGCAGGCGGAGGTTGTGGTTGCAGGCGGAGGTTGTGGTTGCAGGCGGAGGCTGTAGTTGCAGGCGGAGGCTGTGGTTGCAGGCGGAGGTTGTGGTTGCAGGCGGAGGTTGTGGTTGCAGTTGGTAGACTTTAACTTATAACAAGAGTAGGAGAGTAATGGTATTATCTCCCACTTGCTAATTCTAACACTGTCACTCATGCTTGTCACTCGGTATCTTTAATGCACATTATCACAACAGCAGGAACAGCTGTTGTAATATGCTGGGTAACGACTGAGTGAGCTGGCACACAGTAATGTTAGGTGGGAGTGAGGCAGGAAATGTGGCGTGTATGATAATTCAAGGACCTATACTGTTGCCATTTTCGTGAATAATTATAGATGGAAGAAGAAGAAACACGTGTCTTCACAAAAGCATACTGAAGAAAACACTGATAACGAGGAAGTACTAATGTGACAACGTTTTATCAAATTAA